TCCATCGGAAAAATTTAAAAATTAAAGATAAAACTATAAAAGGTATCAGGGCTAAAAATATTAATATTTATTCTAAATTTGTTACTATTCACCTCTATATATATTCACCCCATTTTACGGTTCTCATAAAAATATGAGATGCAAGACCGTCTTCGATAAAATTGTTTTTTGTATGCAATGGTTTATCATTAAATTTAAATTTAACACATATAGGTACCTACATGATTACATCACAACGGCTTACTGAAATAATGAATGACAAGGTACACTTGACACCTATTATAGGTAACTTATGTCCTATGACCTATATAATGCGAAGAAGAGTATATAGTCATACCAACACCAGCAGCTAACTTAATATTTATTAAATAATTTTAATTTTAATACATTTCAGACACTTAGTATTTTTATAATTTATGATTCAAGTAAAAGTAAACAATAAAATAATAATATATACAATATTATAATTTATATGTTTCGGTTAACAAACTGACGTACCTATAATTGATTAAACAAATAATCATTTCGTATTGATTTTATGTTTTTTTATTTTTTTATTACCTTTGATATTATATTGTTCATAATATAAACTACGAATTTCGAACCTTTTTAGTACTGCAACAAAATCATCTATAAAGATGAATGTTTTTGTATTAACTTTAAAGCCAATCTTAATGTTATGCAAGATTGTAGGCATCATCAAAACATCATATTATTTCGAATCAAATGGATTACTGGTCAAAAATACAAACTCAAGATATCATTCGCTTTTCGAATTTTCAAAAACAGTTGTCTTGTTGTTAGTTACTTACTACAGTCACAGACAATTTGACCTTCTTGATACATTGATTCTATATACATTTTGGATCGTCATTATTACATCAAGAATATCAGAAACCTGGATCATTAAGTATGATAATATATATTTTTAATTATTATTATATCAATAACCCCCCCGCATATATATATATATGATTACATCCAATAGGACTCTCTAGAATTGACCACGAACTAACCTTGGCTCTATTAACTACTAATATATTTCAGAAACATCTTATCAAATTATCTGTAGAGAAAAAAGGTGAAAATAATTTACAATTAAAAAACAAAAATAAATTGTACATTTAAAGAAAAAGATGATGTGATGCAAGGGACGTACTTGAGTAAATTTTAGAACTTAGATTAATTTTGGATTACCTTAATAAATAATGAGTAATAAGTTATAATGATTACGAAACTCCAAATCAATTACTTCACATTTCACATTAAATAGAAACAATATGTAGTATGTACATACCTTTTTTCAATAAATTGCTATATATAAATGGCCGACAAGAACCTTGGTTAAGACAAATTTAATATTCATGTTGGTACAATATCATGTATGTTTTTGGTTTTTTCAGGTTGATTAATGGCATTATCAAATTTGATCAAAAACTGACATCATTACCAACGCACTTACAGGCTCACCAGCGTCAGTTAAATAAACAATATTGGAATAGAATCTTTACTTGTGCAACTTTGTACTACATAGCATTAACATTATTGTACGTGTATTTATGGCCTGTAAAGATATTGGATTTTACTATCGTCATTATGTTTTTTGTCCGTATTGGTTTCATCGTAGAATTTACAGTGATTGTTTCTTCTCACTTCTATTTACAAAACTTAGAGTATAGATTCGAACTATTGAATGATTTCTGGAAATGCCTTCCAGCTGGATTGTTGGATGTTCCTGGTGAATGTTCACTCCATGATATAGCGATGATGGTGGATAACATACGATTGTTACACGCTGAACTATCTGACATATTAAGAATATTCAGTATGGGTTACGGACAAATGCTTTTGGGATACTTTGTGTTCAGTTACATCAACACGTTGGTTTGTCTTTTTTATACAATTTGCTTTAAATTTTCAATATCTGAAGAAAATAATCCAATGATGGAAAAGATCTTGAAAGAATCTGTACAATTCATCTATTATTTACAAAATATAATTTTTACAATGTCCATTGTAACTGCTGCCTTACGAGTAAATGATAAGGTAAAAAATACAAATATTTTAGTTATTAATTATATTAATTAATTATAAATGTTTATTTATTATATATTACATTTAGCTACCATACCTGTTATACCTATATTGTTAAGTTTTTTTTTCCATTTAGATTAACTGTGATGAGTAAAAAAACAATTGTTATTCGATTATTTTTATCATGGTATATAAATATGGTATACTCAATATTTCAATCTTCTAAAATTTCACGATTGTTACCTAACATAAATTTTTCATTTACCTATAGTCTGTAATAAAATTAAAACTAAATTTTTTTTTTACTTTCCAATTCCAAATACTTCTAAGATTATTTATGTTCTATTATTTATTCTTTGAAGGGGTCGGTTAAAAAAAATTAAAACATTTATGGTCACGTTTTGCAAAAGGTTGAACACCACTGCCATAACTCTCTGCTTTGGATTGTGAGTTTTTGCACGCCGAGAAATGCTTGACAGCTTGAGAACTGTTTTTCCCATGATACAATAAAGTTTACTATATCTTGGTTTTCCTAAATCTGAATCTTCCAAAATACGAATTTGAGGAAATACGTAATATTTCAGTATTGCTACGATAACGATCATTATAGAAACTCTAATTTATTTATCATTCAGAATTTGGATACACTATATAGGTATATACTAAGTAATGATCCACTGGGAGTGATGGTTGAGCCGACAAGAGAGCGTAGACATGTACATGGCCCTAGTCCAAAATTTTCCGTTACCCAAACTAGGTGGCCTAACAGTCTAGGGCTAGGTATCTACTCCAAACACCTCAGCTTTGAACCATAGTGTCAAAGTCTAGCTCCAGTGGCGTGTAACATAGGGTCCAAGTGTTGCTCAGGCAACACCTTAAATATGGGTGGGTGGGTATTGATAGACGAAAAATAAAAAATTGTATAGGTCGGTATAACAGTATTATAAGGGGTAGGTCACCTAAAATTATTTGAGCAACACCAATTTTTCTTATGATACACGCCACTGTCTAGCTCAGAGATATAGATCTGACCAGTGACCATTTTAATATTGTATAGTGTTTTAATTCTATTATATATGCATATTGTACATTTTTTTTTATTTTATATTTTCAGAAAAGACAGATAATATCTTATTTACGATTAACCAAGATTTCAAATGTATCCACTGCCTTAAAAACCCAGGTTATAAAATGCATTTTATTTCGATTTTAAACAATTTCTACCCGGGGGAACATTAACTGTAGTCACTGCCTACTTAATTATATTATACTGTGTATGACGTATGACTATTATTTTCCATTGACAATGTATTATACTAATCAGTTTAATAACTATTTTTGAATTAGATTAAAATGTTTATGAATCAAGTATCAGTTTTTGAATCAGACGAAATGACAGCTTATGGATTTTTCAGTATTAATTTGAATCTGGTTATGTCAGTAAGTATGTATGGTTATATAATAATAATTCTTATTCAATAAAAACATTTTTAAATTTTTCTTTTATTTCTTTATTTTTAAATTCTACAAGCTGATGTATACCTATCTAGATTTACGTTTTATCCTATTCTTCACCTGCCTATACAATTTAATATGTACCCAATTATTTTATTTTACAGATAATAATATTAATTATTTCTGGAATAGCAACGTTAATACAAATGAAAGAACACCCATATATAATGCAAGCAATAAATGCTACAAAGAATTTCTATCAACAGTCTAATATATCGGTGTAGTGGACTAGCACGTGCAGCGTGTTAAGCGTATTATACTATTATCGTATCTACTGGTGTTAAGCACATTACAAGGGGCTGGTTTATATTATTTGTTTAATATTTAACTTTTGATAGAATATTTAAATGCTTAAGTAGATGTTCCACACTAAATATAAAAATCCTGAATTTTTTTATGGTTGTCTATGATCTACAACAATTCATAAAAAGTGAAAAGCATAGCAATATGAGACAATTATAAAATTGTTTTTAATATTCTGTCTTCTAAAAATATTTTATAAGAAATATTCATTAAGTACTGTTTTAAAATATGTATAATAAAATAAACTAATAATATATCAATAATTAAAAATGTTATTAAATACCTAAATATTGATATATAAATATAATTCCTATAAAATCATTTATTGACAATATGTACAACAATCTTCATTAATTATGATAGTAGTTGATTGATTATTATATGAACTAATTTTACTAAATACCTACATTTATATAAATAAATCTGTTGGTTAACAGATTTGTTTTATCTTTTGCTTGTTTTTGTTAACCAAATACTCGTCATCGATTCAATTTCTTTGGCTATTCCATTAAATAAACACCATCTGAAAAAATTAATTTTAATTGAATAGCTGAAGTACATACTTTTAATTTACATTTAAACAAAAAAAACAGCGATTTTATCGCTAGGTATATAGGAACAAAGTACCTATTATTTACGGGGTACACTAGAAACCTTCTATATACAGTAAAATGATTTCCCCAGTTTTTAAGATATGTATTCCAAATGATTTTTCCGCTTACTTCTTTATTTATACATATCTACTTTATTTTATCGTTTTTATTTCATCACTTTAATCTCACAATTCACAAATATTTTCTAGTAGGTTTGATTAGGAAATTTGGTAGGAACTTCACAAAATGATGATGATTTGACTGCTCAGAATTACTGCACCCACTTAATTTTCATATCCCCACTTTCAATTCTCGGTCCATTCCTACATTCGCGAATTCCGTACTTCCGTTCCACCATACTTCTTATACACCTTACTTCTAATAATCCAATTGGCCGAATATCTGATGTACTTAACTGGCTAAATAATTATGATATGTTTATTTAGTGTTATCTATGTGCACTGTTTAATGTAACTCTTTGTTTAATTCTATCGTTTTACTTTTTCATGTAATTTATAAGCATATAACCATGTTATGTTTTTTTATGAAATATGTAATTTTTATTAACTCTCTGAATCGATGATTCATTCTCTGTCATTTTATATTTTATGTTTTACTGTACTAGAGCCTTTGGGTGTTTACTCAATAAATAGTAATAATAATTAATAATAATTAATTAATGGTGAGATTTATAAGTATATAGGGACCTATTCTTTAGTTTTGCAGTATTTATACTCGTCTTTTGTCCATTGATAATTTGTCATTTTTATTTAATTTTTTTGGGTGGGTATTTAAAACAATCTTACTGTAGTTTATAATACTGCATAATTTGTATATTTGTATGGGTTAGGATTAATTTTTAATATTGTAAATATGCAATAGGTTTAACATTTAAAAATTATTCCTAAGCATTTTAACTGGGATTCGTCAAACCTAAGTTTTCATGAACTTTATCTTAATTTATTTCACAAACTTTTAGAACCTTTTCGAACTTCTACGAATTTTTGAAAATGTACCATATCAAATTTTAGTTTAAAATTGTGGTAACATTTAAAGTTTTAATAGTTTTAAGCCACGGTTGCAAGAACTATATCAGTACTAAATATTTAATGATTGAATATCAAGCTAATGATCCCTTAAACAAGATTTCTAAATTTATAATCAGAAACACACTAAAACATTTAACCTATTATTGAACCATTAAGTAGATACATTTTTATTCAACCTGTTATAAGAATGAAGAATGTTAACTAGCAAAAATCAAATAAATCTACTGACTGCTGCTATACTTAAACATTTCGAAACTTGGTATGTTGTTTGATGGTATCCTGGTTTTCATAATTTAACAAAAATTTAATTTATAATTTTGAAAATTAAAATGTCATTGCTTATAGTAAAATATATAATAAACGTATAGAAGCCCCCACAAATAATGTTTTTGAATTACAACAAAATAACGAACATCGTCATTCTTCGTTTAAAATCTAATGTCGCCTAAAATAAATTTGAACCCAAATAAATATATAAATAAAAAATTGTACTTATAGATTTTTAAAATTTTTTGGTTTCAGTATCTATTGAAGAACTTATGAAAAACCTTAAATTACATTTTTAAATCAAAGGTATGACGGTTTGATAACTTATAAGGTATGTCAACACTTACAGATAGGACACACATCATAAAGTAAAATTGATACCTACATTAATACATTATCATCGTCGATCCGCTCAGAATCTAAAATATCATATTTTGTTCCTTTATCATATTTATCTAATTATAAATTTATATAATTACATCAATATATGTTATACATATTGTCTGATATATTAAATCCTCTTTATATAATTAATAATATATATTTTACCTATACATACAGCATAAATAACAATTTAAATCAAACTTGTAAATTAGAATAAACAGTAAGTTTTATTTTTAATTCGAGTTTGAATTCGGTAAAATATTTTAATAATAAATGTATTCATATTGGTACAATATATTAATATATTATATTAAATTAAAATGCAATATATATAATATCGTTTCACTTAAGTAATATTAATCTTAAATAATGTGTAATAAAAAAATGATATACCTAATATTAAAATAGTATAAATTATATTATATATTGAAACATATTATTAATATAACTAAAATTAGGCAAACAATATGTAAAGTAATAATATAAAAACAGGACCTAAAAATATTATTTTTAATTTGTGCATTAATTTAGTGAAGTATAATATAAAATATTATAGTTTTATAATAGATAATAAATAGTGTGCAAGTATAGAAAAAACTTTTTTTTTTTTAATCTATATGATTATGCACGATGATCATTCCAAACCCATGAAGTGAAAACTGCAATCAACAAGGTCGTGTAATTGAAAGTTAATAAATCAGCATCTAAAAACAATAATTTCATTAACGATATTAGTATTTTATCATTAAAATATACATCTTAGTATATCAATATCGTTAGTAACATAAATAATAAATATTAATAGGATAGTTAATATCATCTTAGCATTATAGTTTTGGTACTACATTAGTCCATATGCTAAATTAATACTAAATTTAAAGGAATATTTAATGTTAACGTTATGAACTCAATCTATGAAAACTTTTTATGTTTTTTTAATTAAAATCTTTGTTTTTTAAAAGCCAATTTAAATAAATAATATAGGTAATACCTAAATAGTTTGAAAAGATCACACTATTGACATTATATACTCCAGATAAGTATGAATTCACTCTGTTTAGTTTATTTGTCAAATAAAACTAACCAATTTGATGGACCTTTCGTTTGTAATATTATTAATTTAAAACATACTGGATTATGTTCATTTAAAAAAATCTCAAATACAATTTTTTCCTTACACTAATGTAATATACTATATTTTACATTTTAATAAACCTGGTCAATTGATTAGAAATTTTCCAATATTTTAAATATTAAAAATATTACATAATATTAAGAAACTTGTATGCATATTATAATATTATCTGTATATTATTATAATTTAAGATATAATACGTATTACGCACGACAAAATTCTTTTCTACACAAAGCTGTACCGAAATTGCCTATCCTGTGCATCGTTTTCATATTATAAAATATTAAAATATTATGTAGTTATAAGGGTTTTTTTTCTTATAGATAATTAAGTATATTTAAATTTGTAAGTACTTACGTATTATGAATAAAATTAAAAATATTTAATTACCCTTACAAAAATAATATTTTACTCACTATACAGACTACACAGTTATAATATAATATGATAATATAATGATATAATAAGATTGACTAATATTATATTTATTAGAATTAATTATATTGATTTAATCAAATTCAACAAATAATAGTTGAATGATAAATATTATACACTTTTATAACAGTAAAAGGAATTCTATTCAGAATTTTCTGCATAGGTACCTGATATCAAATATTTAAAAATTTTAATACAAGATCCCTCTTAATTTTTTCTTATAGTAATTTAAAAAATAGTGAAAATAAATGTTAACAATTTTTATACAAAATTGAATTTTACACAAAAAATAATGATTTTTATGATTTGTTTTAACACATATCATTTCTAGAGACTTCACGAATCTATACCTATATTATTATAATAATACACAATGGTATTTAAAAAATATTAGTATAACTAATAAAAATTAGAAAATATATTTATTGAAATATAGGAAGTTGACAGACGGTCTTCGTTCAGGACGTTTTTCATGTCATTGAATTCGAATTTTCCATATCCATTATATTGACCAACTCTATAGCTTGACACTTATAAATTATAATATAGCAGATTGATTTGTCCAGATATTATCCATTAGTTTTAAATTATTTAAATAAAATTTAAATAAAAAACTAAGTACCTTCAATTAGTTTTCTAGTTTACATCGGTTTTGACATTTGTATAAATAAATAATGTAAATTCCCCTTTTGTATTACTACTTTTTTTTTTTTGATAAAATCAAAGTCTTAATAAAAATCCATTGTTTAAAAATTGATGGACTATCAATATGTCTCACGTTACACGAACACTAAAGGTCAAATGTCCAACCAACTTCGCTGGTTACGCTATTAATAATTTGTCGGTCAATCGCATTAAACTCGACCAAGTCACGCAATCTTCATAACAATAGAGAACAAACGGTCAATTAAAATAATTTGAACCGACGTATTGGTTTCTGTGTTGATACACCTTTACTACCACTGACATCTAACAACCGATTAAAATAAACCAAAATGTATGTATACGAGAAATATCAATTTATAACCGACACCCATTAAATAAAGTAGCTACGTCGGAAGTACATAATATTATGTGTTACATAAATATATTATGTATTTATGTATATATACATAGACGACCGACGTATATGTCGGTAGGTATACCTATATAAATATTTTATCATCTATATATAAACTATAAACAGAATACATAATAATTTACTCAAAATATAAAGTTTATATATTTTAACATATAACAAGCAGTTATTTAAGAAAAAAAACTACCCATTTTCTATAATTTAATTTAGGTATACAGATCGTATTTATCCTTATGCAATTAGAACAGGAGATTTAGTCTTGGTTTATTGTTGAACATATTATTAGTTATTGCATACATTACTAATGCGATCGTAACATTTAATTATATTATATACATTGGAAATGACTATAATTATTACAATATAAAGTATTAAAAAAAAAAATAAAAAAATATGTTCAGCGTGGAATACAAGCTTTGCTTTTAAAATGAAAACTATAATTTAATTTAATTATGTGTTTTATTTGTATTATCTTATTATAATTGGTTGTCAGTAAATTAACTTATTATTATTATTAAAACATGTTTGATTGACAAAAAAATAGTTTAAATTTAAATCATTATCATAGGGGGGACGAAGTGGACGAGAGGTCTAACACGTCGGTTGCGACGCTACCGGTCGCGGTTTCGATTCTCGACCACCGGGCGGCATTTTTCTCTGGGCAAGTCACGGTGTCTGGAGATCAAGTGCCGCCATCCCCCACCCGGGCATGGCAGATACCTACAGGTGCCCAATCAAAAATTCTGCCAAACACAACACACACGTGTAAAAACCCTACCAATACAAACCCTACTACCTACAAATCATAAAACCCCACAATCAGCTAATGGCCATACTGCCATAGTCGCCGGGCTTTAAAAGATCAATAAAAAAATAAAAAAATAAAAAAATAAAAAATATACAAATATATATTTTTTATATGTTAACAGTGTAACAATTTGTACTAAATCGATATATTATTATGTATATTCAATACAGAACTTTGATAATTTTTTGTATGTTTTTCAAATAATACTAACAGGAATTATTTTTTACCTTGAATCAATAGCTTATAAAATAACTGCGTGTATTTAATATAAAATATAAATTTAAAATTGTAAACTCCCAAAAGTAAAACTACAAAAAAATTGTTAAAGCAATAAATTATCACTGACTCTTAAAACTTTATTTGAAACTATCAAAAAATTTCGTTAATTTTGAAATATTTCCAATATGGAAATACCATAACAACATTCTTAAAACATTAAATAAAATTGAGTGTAATAAATATATATATTAGTTTTAGTATTTTAAAGGCTTTCAACTAAAATAAGTTTTACTAAATTCAACAGCAGATGTATAGAAAATAAATGCCTATACTTTAACAATGGTAAATTGAAAAAAAGAACTAACTAAAGTCTCTACTAATGTTATGTACCTATTATAAAAACTAACTTTTAATGGAAATCAGAACAACACCATGGTCATTAAGGAATATTTTCATCAGTGTATAATATAACAATAAGTCTATCTATATCCAAAATAAAGTTTACGAAATTATTATTATATTCAAAATATTAGTATTTAGTTTGTCTTCTAATTTCTAAAAAACGTTCATTTGTGTTTAATTTAAGACTAGATAAAGAATCGAAAAATAGGGCCCACACATTTACCCCACAAGTCTTATTATAGAATTAAAAATAAAAAAACATTTTCAAATAATATTACCTACCTACGTTTAAGTAAACAAAACGTACCTACTAAAAAAGGTCATTTAAAATTTGTTTAAATTATATTTTAGAATTTAAATTGTGCATGATTTAACTTTTTACTATCAGATGTAAAAATTCATACTTTATAAAATTAAAATAAAGGTTTTTTTTTTAATACTTCATATCCAGCCCGAAAATTAAAAAAATGAATTACCTCTATGATAGTACAATAAGTGTTTGTGCTCATCTGACAATTTTGTATTTCATTTTAGGAAACTTTATTTTATTCATTCTTATGTTAGTTTTTTTTTCTTTATTTTTAATTTAAAAACTGTTTACAGTTATGAAATGCTAGCATATATTAATGTTAAATTATTTAATATTTAATTACAGTTGCAAGATTCCTTTTCCTCAGTAAATCCATCTTTACATGCACATATCTTCAATCTTGGATTCGTTGATGTGGCGTTGTTTTTGCATATAGCATTCGGCAAACATTCCAAGTCTGTTTCACATGATGTTTTTAATGCTGGAACAAAAAGCGGTCCTGGCAAAAAGTTAGTACATACTTATCCTAGATGTATAATGCATTAGACTAATGCGTAGGCTAATTGCAAGAATAATTAATCAGAGTATCTAAAAAATAATGTATTGTATGTTATTTTGGTTCAATAAATATGTATTAAAATAATTCATGATGTGAAACTCAATAGTTGAGCCGAAAATATTAAGTAAAATATAATAAAACTTACTGAAACACTGAATAATTAGGAATAAAATTAATAATGCTAAACATTGGTAACTTACATACACGATACACATTTTATAACAGTTCAGCAAAATTAAAATTATTGGAAATATTAAAATCTTACTTAGGCAATGAATAAATTCCATTTTATATCAAATATTTATGTTTATCCAGTTAAAAAAGAGTTTAAATTCGGATAAGGTTATACCTATATTTATCATCAAACAGTAAACAATTAACAGTTAATTGTGTTTGTTTTATGAAGCTGGCGCATTGTATGGCCAACTCATTGCCTATGCGTAAAGTTGCAAAAACCCAACGGGTAAACTATTCGTAAATAGGTGATGTATAAATAAATATGATGTACTTGTATTGTATACAGTATCATTTTAAATTGTAAATATATAAAAAAAATTATGTAACACAACAAAAATTGTTGATTCTCTAAATATCCAATTATTACTAGGAAAGACCTAGTCAGTTTATTATTTAAATACTATAGATGACTGTAAAACCATTTTTTAGAAATAGTGACTGTTGTTTTGTATTGTGTATTTTCGAGATTAAGTCTGTGGTAATTACATAGAATAATGTTAGATACACTAAATTGTTTTCTACTCATAGCTGTATCAAGATTGCCTATCCATTGCGCCGGCGTCATATTATGAAATAAACTATAGTAGTTAGACGAAGTTTTTAATATAAACATTAGAATAATATACTTCTTTTAGATTCTGAGTGGAGCCATGAATGCATTAGTTTTACTCCAAGAGATTAAAAGAGTAAATTTTGACCATTATCAGGAAGAACTAAAAAAAAAATTTAAATAATATTAGGGATATTTAAACTTGTTTTGCAATACTAGTTTTTGACAAAATCAATTTCGTTCTTTTGTTGTAATTCAAATGTTAAGGTAACGTGTTGTTTAAGTTTTGTTTTTAGAAAATATTAATTCAACCTACCGTATGCCTAACAAAAAAAATTAATTATACTCATAGCATTACAAATGCATGATAACATATCCTTAAAAATATAGACTGATAGACCATCTCCATTCTCCACCAAGAATCATTATACAATTATTTATAGCATTGAATTTGAAAACTTATCCATTGCACTCATTACAGTGACCTACACAATGACGAGGTACACTTAAAACCTATTACCCAAAACATCCCCTTGGTTTTTTTAAGTACCTATGTAATTATTATGTATATATGTGTAATGTGTATGCTATAAGGATAAAAAATTGTAAGATACATTTTGCGTAGTAAAATACACGAAATATTGATATATAAAACAAAATATTTGATATGAATTATAATACAATTTAGTAAAACTGACTATTAAGTTTTAATAGATTATAGAATAACTGATTTTGATTCAACTAATTTGGGATCTTATACTATTATTTGACTCGATAAATTATTTATTGCTTATACAGTTATACCTCTTGGCTTTTTCAAGCAGTCACCATTCAATGGCTGTTTTCCATCTGCACACAGACATTTTCTTTTCTTGTCACTCGGATCGAGCGCACATGACGTAAATGGCGTATCCAAACAATCGGAGTCCGTAGTACAATCTTGAACTGCATTATTAACTAAAGAGAATATTAACAGATTTAATTTATTTCTAACTAGCAATTCATCGTTTTATATTATATAGACCAAATTCAATTCATGGAAAAATAATAGTTCCTATTATCCTTTTACAAAAACAAGATATTTGAACAAAAACGTGTCGCGAATTTAATAAAGGGCAAAACAGGATAAAAGTCTAAGTATGAAGGTGATTAGTTTTTTTTATAAATCACGCACTTTAAAACGAGCTTTTGAAAAATCCATTAGACACGCCCTCAATTGTATAATAAACAGTTGACATAATTTACAAGTACATTGAAGTGCGAATTTTAACATAATAACACATTACAATGACGTAAATATTATAAATATATTGACATTAAGTTTTTTAGTTTTAAATTCGGACATAAATCATTAACTATAGTAAACTGCATATACTGTATACAGTATACACTACCACTTACATAAACTATAAGTACCTACTACCTATATATATAGCCATATAGGTATATTATAATAATTTTTAGGCAATTTTAATGTGTTTATTTTATAAATAAGCGATAATGTGGTAGTATGGCTCGGCGCGGTGAAGTGGCTGAAATCAATCATGCAACGTAATTGAGAGTAAGCAACGGCCGTGCTACTAGTTCCCGGATGGGTGACCAACCGGGTCCATAGTGGCATAAACTTTGCCACACATACAAACTGTTCCAAGTTTCCAACCCCACCAACCGTAACCTCTTCAAAAGCTAATGGCCATAGTTAGGGGCTCTAGACCAAAACAAAAATAATAATAATGTGATATGGGTACCATATACTTAATATATATATTATTAGATTTAAATCATAATTAGTTGCGATTCATGACATGGTAATATTTCTTGTTGGGATTAGACGTATTTCCAAAATATAGAACTTAATAGGTAGGCACTTAAATTAACAATAATTTATGGTACACTATATAGATACGTTTATCGATAAATGTTGTCTGTACTCTGTAAATTTTGATACAGCGATAAAATGTAAAAATATCAAATTACATAACAATAATCCCTATTGTAGATAACGAATCAAATGATGACTACCAACCTATCTTTTTCGTATGAATTTCGTTAGTTTAAAACCGTACATCAGTCAAGATTTTTGAATTTATCTTGTGTCTGTGTGTGAACATATACTAGCTGTGTTTTAAAATAAAGAAATTCGTAAATTTAGTATTATAAAAATTTAAAAAAATTATTTTAAATTAAAGGGAAAATAATATTAGTTTAAAGAGTTAAGACGTACCTATAGGGTATAACTTGAGGTCCCACAATTTCACACTTCCACGTGCAGAAATTCATAATACCTTCTAGAGTATTAATATATTATAAATATTATTGAATAATAATCTTATTTAATATATTTGTGTTTTTAATAATTTCCAATATTCAATACATTTATCTTAACTTTATCTTTTTACCGTAAATTTTTCTAGTAATATTTTTTTTTCGTAACCAATAATGTACTTTTTCATATTTATATAGTGCTAAGTAATTATATTTACTTATTTTATCTACAATTTATTTATTATAAAAACAGCATAATATTATGATTATTATATGAATTATTAAGTTAGTAAAAAAATGAATACAGATAAAATGTTGAATGCCATAGTTATCTTTAAAACTTAAATCGTTCAATTATTAATGTGTGTACTGAGTGATTCTTTTATCAAACAACACTCATTATTTCAAAAAGTGTAAATTTTTTTGAAAATATTTTTTTACATAGTTTCAAGTCGCTTATAAAACAACTTTTTTATTAAAAAATTATATTTTTAATTATTTTTTATCCTTATAATTTTTTAAGTTTTTTACTTTTTTGAATGACAACATAGGGTTTTAATTTTATATTCCAAAGCAGAATATTTTTCTTAGTATTTTGATACATGAAAATCAAATTTGGGTTGAGTAGTTTATGAGTTATAAGTATTTAAAGTTTAGACGAGCGGTGAAGTGGACAAACATTTGGCGGGGTAACCCCGAACCACTCCACTCCACTCGTCTAAACTTTAAATACTTATAACTCATAAACTACTCGCCCCAAATTCAATTTTCATGTATCAAAATACTAAGAAAAATATTCTGCTTTGGAATATAAAAATAAAACCCTATGTTGTCATTCAAAAAAGTAAAAAACTTAAAAAATTATAAGGATAAAAAATAATTAAAAATATAATTTTTTAATAAAAACGTTGTTTTATAAGCGACTTGAAACTATGTAAAAAAATATCTTCAAAAATATTTACACTTTTTGAAATAATGAGTGTTGTTTGATAAAAGAATCACCCAGTATAATTGTATTTAACCGTTCACCACGCGTATTTGGATAAAGTTAATTACTGGAAGCTAATATCTGAAATATTGTCATTAGCCAAACTCTGTGGTTAAACTTAACGTTAGCTGGGTAATCTTAACATAAGCCAAGCGTCGAACATTAACCGTAAAATGTATATTTAATTTTATTATATGGTCAGGTGAAACGCCTAGTCCGCTTGTAACGTGACCCAAGTAAGGTAAGTATATGCTTGTTTTCGTGAAGGACGCTTTGCCGTTTTGAAGTGTTGTATATAGGCATATAGCTTTAACTTATACATGCCTATAGAAATAGGTAGAACACCTGGCCCAATTCTAATACAATTTAAACCCTGAAACTGAATATATAGGTACTATTATCTTCTATATTCTATAATTTCAGGCTACTTCTGAGTTTGAACGATTCAGTGTAATATACCATATAATACTAATATGATTTCATTGATAAATCTAGACATAATGTTATTGTTGTGGGTACTCTATTTGTGTATAAAATTTTGAATGGATCTATCAAAATGCCTGATTTATTAAAAAAATGAAAAATATATAATTTAATGAAGGTATCGTAAATAAATACTCTCAATTTTCGTAGCTATTCGATACAGCAAATATGTTGTTCTAAATCGCCCATCTATCAAATTATTATTTGTTATCATAATAAAGTGAAACATCGTGCTCTTAATGTATTATAGGTTGCTATACCATTGATTATTTGAATACATTACAATATTTATCTTATTATATAAGTAACTATCTGTATATGCAAGTTTAAAACTAACTGTACCTATACCTACTATTGCCCCTCATGTGCTTAAAAACCATTGAATAAAAATTAAATAATTACAATATATTATAATATAGTGTTGTACAGTGGTCGACCGATCACCCATCACCATTTGGTTGATTTGCGACGACAGTGTTCGGATTAGATAAGTATTTTTGTATCTAGATAAAGATAAAGATAATGCAACTCAAATGTATCTAGATAGAGATAAAAGATAACTTAACTCATATTTATCTAGATAAAGATAAAGATAAATACTTTTTTATCTAGATATAAAAAAAGATACAATTTTTTTTTATGGATTTAAAATAATCTGACCAAACAATATAGTTTTTATTTTATTATTCTATTTACTGTTGCCATACAGTCTACAGCATTATAGCTAATACCTAGCTATATTATATTATACCATACGTTAGAGAACACCTTTAGGTTACTGAAACTCGAAAGTATATCAATATTAAAACGAAGGTATTAAATTATATTTTAAGGATGTTGGTTTTATGTACTTACACAAACAATCGAAATGACTGTCCCGAAAATTCTAAAAGATAACAATACGGATGATAATAATAATACAATTAAGGGGCGGGAAATTGCTATATTAGGTATCTTATGTCGGTTAACGAAGCAACCAGTAATTCGCGTAAACGTGAACGTCGTGGGAATACGGCGGAATACGAGACTAAAATTACATTAATCCTACGCATATCAATAAATGTCGAGGAAAAAAACGTGGTCGATGTGTATGAAAATGGTTTTTTATAACCAAATTGGTGATCCCACAATTTAATAGAAATATTTTTTGGACCCGAAAAGCACTCTGGCCCGCGATGTGTTTCACGAACACGCACGAACGCGACGTCGTCGTCGTATCGTGAAATTCGCTTGAAACGGAAAGCCGAAAGAAACCTAGGGAGGGAAAACACAAAAACGGACAAACAACCCTGCAAGCGAATCGTGTGTATAAAATATAATACATCATACTTTAACGTTTATAATAATTATTGCGATTGTTTGCACCGAGTTTTGTGTACATATATATTATGTTATAAATTATAATATAATATACCGTAACGCCACATAATTTTTTTTTCCATCTTTACGTCATTATTTTAATATTATACCGTAAACTATTTTATAAAGGTCCTGCTACTTGTAAAAAAAAAAAAAGGTCTATAAAATATATGTATACACATTATACAGGTGGGCGGCAGGGACACGCTGTACCTACACAAAACCAATTTTTAATGTAAAATTGTATGCACTTGGAATTTTTTTTCTCTCTATTTACCGCGTGTTCGACGAAGGCGTCAAACAGTTCGTTTGCAGTCGTTGCCGCCACGATCGTCGCCACTACCTCTATATAAAGCACAGCACACTTATAATACATAAACATTATGATATATGTATACATAAGTATACCTATGCTGTTATATACCTTAGCTGCCGCCGCAGCCTTAGCGTGCGAAACAACCGTAAATAGTACATGTACACGTATAATTTTTTTTTGCGCCCCTCACTATTTTACTTTCTTACCCCCGGCCACCACTCTTAATCCTTTCTTTCCGCGTATTTTTCCTATTCACCGCCGACTTTTTAATTTCCCTTCATGTCCGAGCACGAGCATTGATAATATTATTCGCACAAACACAATATACACAATGCACTGAAGTGTATACTGCGGATCGATAAAAAAAATTAAAACGGTTGTTGGTATATTATATACCAGATACCTGTACAGGCACGTCATCAAGGGGAGCATCAGAAGACCTGGTCCCCTAAGAAAAGTCAGTGGCCCCGAACTGGCCCCCTTGATTTTATTTTTTTAATATTATGGTGTTTATTAGCCCAAACCGGCTAAATCATGAATGTATATTATATGGTACTCCATATAGTTAACGATCCTATAACAAAAATTAAATTCCGAGATTCTATTTTATAAAATATATTCGTCACTCGACAATTTGAAATAAGAACTAACGTAATACTAACTATACGTAAAATAAAACTAGCAATTTTTCATACTAATAAGTAGGTACCTATTTATTATATTTTTATTATTGTATATTAATGCATAGTAAAAATATAATGCTTAACCAATACGGACAATTTATTGTGGAATGGTAGTATTATTTTTTACGGATATTGTCTGATAAGGAGATGAGTGATATTGGGTATAAAAAACAGAAAGGGGCCAAAAAATGTTGGACCCCTTATAGAAAAATGTCTGGCTATGCGCCTGTACCAGTATAACAGTGTTGTCAATGTGTCAATGTATGAATGTGCAGTATAAAATAAGGCAATAATTACAATTTCTGGATCGGATGTAAACCAAAACTATCGAAATTTCATGAGCGTATTCATTATCATTCTACGTTCCTCGACAATTATGTATATTATTAGGTCAAATTAGGAAAAGAGTGAAATAGGATGCGTTAAAATTCGTGTGGCTTATCAGTCATCAATCATCATCTATATAATATTTCAAAAGTGTAATCTCTGTTGGTCCTGAGACTCAAAAGTTAATCTTAATTACATCCATGTACTCATATGTATATATTTATTTTTATAATATTATATAAAACGGGCAGTAGCCCAATTTATGATCTATATGATATGATATTTATTTATTTATTTATTTATATAAAATCAACGGGCCAAAGCCTTTAACAAAGAAAGAAAAACATTACATATGAATTGGCACAATATGATAACAATAGACAAGTGATAATAATAAGTATATATATATATATATATATATTATATTCAGGGGTTAAAGTGGGGGGGACGCAAGGGGACTCAGTCCCCCTACCTCTAATGGTGGTTAAAAAGCGCCCCCTTTAAAAAATCATTCTTAAAGTACGTCGGAACGCTCCAATTATAACCAATTATATCAATATTCAATATAATTCAGAATTCCGTTGAGATTAAAACCGTGATTACCATGAATGGATTATGATATACAGCAAGGCTGGGCATTAACGAGTTACTTTTTTTTTTAGAAGTAACTTCTAGCTTAACGATTTACATTTTTCCCCATGTTATTCAGTAACTTAACGAGTTAATTAATTTTATTGGCACGTTAAGTTAATGTTTTTCCCAAACCACATATTATTTAAAATTAATTCAATTTTGTAAAATTAATTACATAAAAAAAACCCCGAAATATTAAATATATTTTATTAAATAATAATTTATAATAATAGTAAGTTTTTATATTGCATATTCACAGAGAATATTTTATAACTATATTATAGAGGGAAATATCATAGGGGTAACCGCGTCAAAGAAAAATATAACAATTTACTCAGTACCTATCCCATACACGACATATCACCTAACCTATACCTAATCATTATTAATATCATTACTTATTATTGTATTTTTATTCATTCATAGAATTACGGTGATAACTTGGCCCGTCGATGTAAATAATACCCGAAGTAGCGTGGTATTTACTATTTACCTAATTAAAGTATAATACACAAAATTAATATAAGTACCTACAGTAACTAATTTTATTGCAAACATTTATTCAAATATTGTAAGAAATTTTTTGATTTATTGAATTATTATGTTATTTGTTAGCTTTAAAAAAGGTAGGTAGGTATAATTGTTAATTTTATTTTTAAAAAAAAGTAACTTATTTTTAACTAAGTTAAATTACTTTTATTTTCTAATTAACTTGTAACTTTTACAAGTTAAAAAAAATGAAGTTAACTTTTAACTTTAAACTTAACTTACATTTTTCTATATTAACTTAACTTAACGAGTTAAAAAAAATAGTTAACTTGCCCAGCCTTGATATACAGGACTGGACACTACAAGGTTGGAGGGTGTGATTGGTTGACCGCGAAATGTAGTATTATTCATAAAATAAATTAAAAATTTGACCATTATTCATGATTCAATGTGGGATGAGTATATGTTACACAATCATTGTTTATAAATTACATGTACCCACTATGACTGTATGTATATTATGCATTAGACATTATACATAAAACGATATATTATGGAACGCTTAAAACTATATGGAGACGTTAGTCCCCCCTGGGATTTTTTTCCACTTTAAGCCCTGATTATATTATATACTATAATTACTAGCTGAACCGGCAAACCTAGTATTGGAAGTTAAGAATTTATTATTTTTTTATTATTGTTTTATTCGATAGCTTTTGTTGTTTCCAAGATAACTGAGTGATGTCAAACCCACAAATATGACTTGTCATATTATATAGTGTGTCAAATCATAATATACTCATGAGTATATATTTATATATATAGGACATATGACATAGATATATAATCTGGTATAAGTATATTTTATTAATTAGGTATAGACTCACTAAATTCTCGTATTCACTAAGTTTTCCGTTAAATTCCCCACAATGCTTAATTTATACATAGGAAACGTGCACAAATGTCCCTAGGTAAATAAATAAATCTATACATAAGCACAGTGCATAATCTGCTGCAATGGTGCTAAAGTTGTCCCGGACCATGTTATACCTTATCAGACTATTTTAGTCCGACCAAAAAATTGTTTTCAAAAAAGGGAACTAATTTACTGAATAAGAGCAATGAGCTTCATACTCCAAACCCTACAAGTACGTAATAACAACTTAAACTCTAAATTTGTACTTGTAACGGTTGTACGTTGGTTAGTCAAAGCATTTACTGCAGCTCAAACACCACACTTGTGAACAAGAAACGAAAAAGTTCAATATAATAATATTATTATCTACACCAACTTGGATTCATGCACGTAGGGTACAAACCATAAGTGACCCAAGCATGCACTTATTATAGTATAATATCATACCGTCATACGGCCGGATCACGCTCACCTGTCACGTTCTTGTTACCCGAGTTGCCTCCGAACGTCGTGGACCATCGCTTGTTCCGGGCGGCGGACGACGGTACCGGAACGACGTCGCCGGGGACAGTGTCTGCCACGGCGGTACCGAGTGGGCCACCGCCTGCCACCCCGACGACGGCCATACCGGCTGCCGGCTGCAGCAGCAGCAGTGCGGCCATCGCGAAACAACAAGAGTACGCTGCCAAAAACTCGTGCACCGTCCGCTGGGCCATGACTGTCTTGTAGACGTGTCCGCGGCGCCGCGTCTCAACAACAAATGGCCCGCGGCGTCGGTCGCCGCTCGCCGTTGGTATGTGTGTGGCGTGCAGTGGCGTGTGCGTGTACGTGTGTACTTGCGTGCGCGTGTGAGTTCGTGTGTCGGTGTGTATGTGTGTGGGCGAACCGTCGTTAAGAAACTATATAATATATATAATATATATTATATATTATTATACGAATATTAAATTTATAAAAAAAAGACTTTTTCGAGTATGACTGGCGCGAGTACGCCTCACGCCAACTGTGGCGCCCATGTACATAATGTTATTATTATATTGTGTTTTGTGTAGCGGTTTTCGTTTTCGTTTAGTTTTGTTTTTTCGATTTTTCACATTCAAATAAGGAAATCGGCTTAACACGCAAACTGATTAATGAAGTTTTTATTGGACCGTAAATATGTACGGAGGGGAGTGGACGTGAAGGTAGAGGTGGAGACGGTCAGTGTTTATACATAATATATAATATACGAACATTGCGAATCCGTGACGGTGGAAGCGGCGATGGGGGACAGCCAACAGCAGAGTTACGTTATTTTGTATTTTTTTCATTCGTTAGGTTATAGGTAATGTACATGTATGTATGCACAAACTCAGCTAGAACGGTCAATGAAATTAAAATTCATTATTTAAAACGCGTCCGCCGTTCATGGTTTTGAAGAAATATATGACCAGCACCCGACTTACCTATGTATACTGTATACATACGGAACATATAATATAGGAATATAATAATATAATACCTGTTGTGTGTGTGTGTGTGTGTGTGTGTGTGTGTGTGTGTGTGTGTGTGTGTGTGTGTGTGTGTGTGTGTGTGTGTGTGTGTGTGTGCAAGTACATACATATAATATATATACGCGTGCAATAATTTATTAAGACTTTTGTACAATACCTACTAATATATTAATAGGTATTATTATATATTATACACAATAATATGCACGATTATATAGGGCACAGTTAAGCTTAAAAAAAATTGTGCTTTGCGTTGTTTTAATACATAATACGTATTGTTAATTTATTATGCAAATCAAAAAACTAGCGTTGAATTATTATAATAATATATTTATACTCAGATTATAGCTATTTTTTACTATGTATTATTATTTTCTCAAAAGTACACCATTTTTTTTAAACGTCATAATTAAATATTCTAAAGTTGTATATTGGGTACCTACCTATATTTTTATTTTTAATGTATATGATAAAATAAAATACATAATTCTAAACCTATCGTTATCCTCGAAGTACTAATTCTCAATCGTTTTTTTTTAAATATTCTCTTGAACATACTATATATAGATTATATTATGTAGTGTCCAATACTCAATCGTAATATTTGTTGTCTCGCTCACCTAAGTCTATTGAAATCAACTTTTCTTCTATATAGGACCTACATTTAATCAAGGTATGCCCGAGGAAAAAAACATTTCCAAAAGGTCGATGGTAAACTCGGCCCGGGTTTTTTTCAGGTCAAAATTATTTAGATGTAAACTCGGCCCCGATTTTTTTCAGGTAAAAATGATTTAGGTGTAAAAACCATCATTTTTCTTATAATATTTTTGAGAAACATTTAGCATTACCCAGAGGACACCACGAGGAGGCGGTTCTCATTATCCTTCAAAAATTATTTTCATTTTCATATTATTATTCATAGTATGAAATTCGTTATTTAAAAGAAAAATGTAATTAAAATGTTATAATATTGATAATAAAATAATAATAAATGTAATTATATAAATGTATAACTTGTATAAGTGTAAAAATGTGTATAAATATAATAAAAAATATATAAGTAAAATTGTAGTGTAAATAATGAGTGAAAAATTTTAGTATAATAATATATAAATCTAGTTTTTTAAGTAAAACGCCATGTATTTTACATATTCACTCACTGATATTTCTTTATTTTTATATTTTATAAGTGTTCTTTCTGAGAGTTCTTTTTTTTTTTTATATATTTTGGAATTTAAATGGTCCATTTAGGCTGTTGATTTTAATGTACGTTTCTGTTTGTACTTCTTTTAATTTTGAAATGACGGAATATATATTTGGGTGAGTGGAATTAAAACTTGAATTAAAATGCGCATGAAATGATACACATGCATTTTTTGTTAAATACGTTTCAACTGATGCACTGGCCCACATTTCAGGCGGAAACAGAATCTGACACCTGACATTTTCGGGCCGAGTTTACAATCAATTTATTTTACCATCTGAAATTTCCGGGCTGAGATTACAATCTACCTATTTTTATTACCTAAAATTATCGGGCCGAGCTTACAACAAAAAAGGTAACTTCGGGCCCAGTTTACATTTGCCCGCTATAACTTATAAGGGGCAATTCGAGTAGACTGTTTGGGTATAGGTACTCAACTTGCCTCCAAAAACACCCAGGGGCAATTTGAGTAAAAAAATGTCACCTACCTAAATTTGGGAGGCAATTCGAGTGTTACCAGTTTTGAAGTGATATTCATTTGAAATTTGTCGTTATTATGGTTTTGCTCGCTCGGATAATTTAAAGCGAAAACATCCATCTATTTTTTATGAAAAACCACCTCAAGTATAGGTCACAAGGTAAGTAAAATGAAAAAAAATGTTGTGTCATATAGTCTAAAAAAGTGCAAAAATTATGATGGAATTTATGAGCTTTAATATAATATTGACTCATGTCGTAGTACCTCCGCTGGGAGGCCTCTACATTCCATCCAATCTGCCTTTTTATTTTTATGTTTTCTTATTTTAACATTTTAACCCATCAATTGTTCTTATTGTTCTTCTTTGTAACGGATTGAATTAAAAAAACATATAAATCAAAAAAAAAAAAAATATATATTTATAATATTAGACACCAGAAGGAGGCATTAAAATCAAACATTGGGAAGCAGTAGTTGATGAAGAAAAGTTTGATTATACACTAAAAGTGTCAACATTACAACATGAAGACATACATCCAAAATTGAATCAAAAAATGAATGTTGGTCGAGGATTTCGGGTAATAAGTTTAGATTACACAATAGCAATAAAAAGTATTTATAAGTACAATAGATTTCAATCTGAATGTTCTTTAGTTTTTCAATAATGATACAGCTATAGGTATGGAACTATACAATGTGGTCCGTGGGGAAGTGACCGGGCCGACGTCATATGAAAGTATACCCAAAATTATGAAAAAAATACCAGAAATGTGCAAATTATTTTTATTAATTTTAAAAAGTAATTATTTTTCATCAAAAATTAATATTTTTAAAAGTAAATAGCGTATAACTCCAAAAAAAACTAGTATTTACCATTTTTGATTAATTGTATTATTCTACTGAATAATAGGTACCTACTTAGAATAAATTAAAAGTTTGGTTTTCGACGTTTTCGTATCTTAAATGATTGCAGAATTATACGCAGCTAAACAATACACGTATGTTATAAAAAATAAAATTAAACGATTAACGACCAATTATCGACCGATACTCGATTCTAAGAAAATCAAGATTGTAACGACAGCGTATAATTCTGCATTTATGGAAGATATGAAAACATTGAAAACCAAACTTTTAATTAATACCTACTCAGCCAGTCTCGGATTTGACCACCACGTAGACTGGTGGAGAAATTAGTGTGCTATGTTTTACGGGACGTTGGGACCGGGATTGGAACCACGATTATAGATATTTATATCTTTAATCGTGATTGGAACAAAAGTTTCTTCAAACAAATGTTTTTTGGAACAAAAGTCCCTTGGAACAAATGTTTTGTAGAAAAAAACCAAAAAGTCCTATTGAACAAATATTTTTTGAGACTAAAGTCCCTTGGAACTAATGTGTTGTGGAACTAAAGTCCCATGGAACAAAAGACCATTGGAATAATATTATTTTGGAAGAAAAGTTTATTTTACTATATGAACACAGAACAAACAGAAGGGAATCTATGCCACGGACTAAGATATACAGGACTGGGTAACGATAAGGCTGGAGAGTGGTAGAGGGCTGGATACCAAATGTTTTCAATAGGTACATGTGGGACACCTAGCGCTATCTAGTAGGCTTATAGCTCATCTACCATTACTTCTCCATAAATACATTGGCACAGAAAAATAAATTACATTGGTCTCATTGCATATTTTATATTCATTCCATTAGTAAATAGTAGAGTATTTAGACTTTAGAAATTTACTTACTACTTACTAGAGTGTCTAGATCTACTGCTTGATTTATTTAAATAGTTACTACTATTTTCTACATTTGTATTGAAATTATAAAATTAAAATACCTCGCCAGTGTTCAGTATTTTTATGTACCACTAAGGAACGGTCCAATGTCCAGTTGTTTTAAGTTCGAGAATCATGGGAGGAAATTATTAATGAAGTAAATGGTAATCATAAACGTAAAGTGACATACGTCTGTATAGAACATTTTAGGAAAGAAGATGTGATTAACAGTTATAGTGGGTGTAATGCCTTGGAAGTAAGAAAACATAATTATTTGTATTTAGCCATTTATGTAGGTACTATATAAGAACCTACTTGGTCATTATAAATTATAACTCAATAATTCTATACACAGTTTAAAAGGAATTTAATTGGACTAAAAAATGGTGCTTTTCCATCAGTATTTAATTCACCATTTGATATTCACAAAACAAATGATTTGCCTGCAGAACCTCGAGAATCTTGTACACCTGTTACTGAGTCATTTAGGAAAGAATTGTTTGGTGAACCCAAGCCTAAGAGATTATGTCAAACACTAACATTAATAGTATGTTTGTGATTAATTGTCATAATAGACCATGTAGATTATTTAATTTATATATACCTACCTAACTTCATAGTTCGTATGATTTAATAAAGGAATCAAAACTGTGGTATGAAAGTTTATTATTGTCAGTTGGTTGGTCATTATATCATGAAGGATGTATTGTTGCATTGTATAAGCTGATTAAATTCATAGAATTTAATAAAGCTA